ACAGGTTGATGCGTTGCAGATCTTTGCGTTGCAGATCTTCGGTCCGTGCCCTCTTGTATTAGCCTCTGTCCTTTGTGGGTCCCAAGTGACTCTGGCTTCCAGGATCATCCACATTCATGTGGCTCTTTGGGAAACCCCACTGTTTTCCTGCCAAAGGGCTTGTTACCTAGGTTTCCTTTCTGTTTGGAATGCAAAGTATAGTTAACTCGCTTCTGTGGGCTTTTTTAGAGAGATATGTAAAACCAAAGTCAGAGCAATGGAAAACAAACATTAGAGAGAACACGTCATTCATTCGGGGATGCAGACTCAAACTTGGGGAGGCTGATTTCACAAAGGAGGACTGTGTGTGGCCGTAGGAGACCATAGCAGGGGTGCCTGGCCTGCCTGCTCCCCCAGAGCCACCCCCCAAGAAGCAGATTCCAGGGAGCTAGCACATTAATGGAAACCTGAAAACTGGTTTTAAAAAAAAAAAAAGAATAAAAAAAAAAGCCCACAACCTAGTCAGATCTAAGAATTAAGACTGTAACTACTTCTTAATTGCAAATATTCTCATTATCTTTTTTAAATGGGTGCAGTTTTGCATGAATCATAACACCGTAAACTGTTTCTACTCTTCACTTGTTTACTTTAAAAAAAATTAGCTTGCACAGTGTTAGGTTTTATTATGGAATTTCAAACCAAATTGGTGGTTGACTCTCTTCCCCCAGACTGTCCCTGCCCGCTGCCCACTTTGTACTCTGCCCCACGATTCTCAGGACTTTGCCCCCCAACTTTCGAGCCACATATATCCCGCTGCCTCCACCTTTCCCAAAGACCTTTCTTTCCTCCATCATGACCTCCTTATGAACTTCACAGCCTAGACCCACACACAGCGCTCATAAGCTGCGATCCACATGTGACAGAAAATGTGGGGGGCACACCTCGAACCCTTATTCACTCAAAGGAAATAGGACTTGATTGCTCCTTCAGAGTCAGATACATGAGGGTCTCTTAAGACCAGGCTTCATGGAGTTACCCAGTACGGGCATGCTATGCTCAGTCACTCCTTAGGACCGTGTCACCGTGGGTCTACAGGGAGATGTTTTCTGCAAAGAGAACTGCATTGTGGTAAAAGCCGCAGGGAAGAGAGAGAGAGAGGAGCTTGTCCCTCTGTAAGGAGGAGATGAGAAAATTTAATAAAACTAAATGTACCTGCTCCCCAAAACATCAGACCATGCTATTTTTCAGAGGAAAGATAAAAGAAATAAAAAGAAATAAAATTCTCATAAAAAAAAAAAACAAAAAAAAAAACAAAAAAAAAACGGTGCGGCACTGGGTTAGGGGGTGGGGGGGATACGATGGGTGCGGAAAGTTACCGCCGTGACACCGGGTGGGTTTCTTTTCTCTTCTTCTTGGTGCAAAAGCGGCCGTCATTTGAATGCCGTCGAACAGCTTTTCAGCTCACACAAAAGAGCAGACGGTTCCACTTACTTCTGAAATTAGATGCAATCATATCTGTGAATCAGGAGGCAGCAAACCACCGTAATCTGCATTACAATACATTATCCTGCCACGCTCCCTAACTGCAGTCTACCGCAGCAACAGAAACACTTTGCGGTGACCTGCACCGCTCTGGCAGAAGCGCCAAGCCACGCTAAGGCAGCAAAGCGACAAAAAGGAACTGCTTTCTGCTGCGAAAAAAGAGCAAATTACAACAAGAGTCAAGTCTCTGCTAATGCAAGACTAGTGTCTTCTTGTTCACAGTTTGCATAATTAGATATCCTGAATAGGGTTTTTTATTGTTCTAAAAATACTCCTGCTTTGTTTAAATCAGCTATTTCCTTAACAGCATGACTTTGGTACCAGAATTAGTGAGGTAGTTAGGGCGGCAGCAGAGATAAGGTACTTTTAGTTAACATTTAGAGGGGGGGAAGCTCTTTATGCTCTGTTTCCTTCCTCACGCTTAGCCATCGCCCACTGGAACGGCAGTGTGAAATCCAGTGGAGGGTGGAGCGGCTGGGGACCCCAGCATCCTAGGACCGCTCAGATCAACTTTTACAACTTTTTTTTTTTTTTTTTTTTTTGCATTCAGAGCCATCGCAAACATTTCACCAACTAAAGTCCTTAGTACACTAGAGCCCACAGTAGGGGTACGTAGAGTCCAAAAGACAGCATTATGGTTCAGGTCCAGCAGAAAGAGAAAACACTTTGGCTTTAGTGCTTAGAATTATGCCACATTTTCTGCCCTAATGAGGTGATGAGCAGAGGGACAAGGCCCTAAATACTTGACTATGTGCCTTCTCCCTTCATTCCTTACTGTTAGGAGGGGCATCTTTCTCTCAGGGGAAGACACCAGCGCCAGTGGCTTCTAGGGACTAGTTTACTTATTACAACATGCATTGTGTGTGTGTGTGTGTGTGTGTGTGTGTTGTATGGTATTTGTGTGTATGTGGTGTGTGTGGTATATGTGTGGTGTTTATGTGTGGTGTGAGTGTGTTATGTGTGTGAGTGTGATGTGTATGTGTGATGTGATGTGTTTGTAGTGTATGTGTGTGGTCTGTGTGTGTGTGTGTGTGTGTGTGTGTGTGTGTGTGTGTGTGTG